AACTTTTCCAACTCTATTCACTTCATTTCTGATTGTTGTAATTGTTTATATTTCAAAATCAAATTCAATAATTATTGGTTCTCGAATAAATTCCTGGAAGTCTTCTGTCAATAGGCCATTTACTTTCGATCATCAGATTTAAATTTCTGGAACTTTCCCATCTCTACAGCAGTTCATATCATCAGATTGTTGTAATTGTTCATATTCAAAAACCATATTCAATAATTATTGGTTCTCAAATAAATTCCTGGAAGTCTTTTCTGTCTATAGGCCATTCACTTCCGATTTTATCATACAACATACGAAAAGCATATCGTTTCATAATCCAAATCAAATTCAATAACTATATCTACCGGTTTCAATAATTTGCTTACAAAATAATCCAATTAACTAATTGAATTGGTTGATCACTCTTGTTAAATCATTCTTTGCTCTGTTCCTCGCGATACACTTTGTTTCCCTCTCAGATGAAAGGAGAAATGATGTAATTAAACTTGCAACTGACTACCTGTGTGATTACTCATATGACCGCATACAAGTAGTTAATTACGAAATATGGTCATATTTTAATGGTTGAATGAGAATTAATTGGAAGTTTGTCAATGGTGTAATAGTGCTGGGAGATGTAACTATAGTCAAGATATGATATATGTATTACATTTGTTGTAATATGATTCAAATCATGATACATGTTCAAGTTACAAACTTAAAGGAGCAGTCCCCAAATATTTTTCAATGAATGAAACCTGTTAATTCTGTGTGAGGGGGTTCTTAAAAAATGTTATCCTCATCCTGTATTCAACTATCCAAACCTCTGTGGCAATATGTCCCCAATTACCACACTATTAATTAACAAGTGTCTGGATAACCATGCCCACCTACTTGTCTCAGTTATAATGGTAAGTAATCATGGCAATTATCATTTTGAACTGAACAGAATTTCTTAAATGAGTTACGCAATTCCACTGAGCCAATCTTACAATCATTTACGAACAGCTCAATATTTTGAGCTTTAACTCCCAGACAATGCATTTGGGTTACTTCATAACATTTGCTTTGTAGACTTTCACCCACTTTTATCAGTGGATACCCTGTGAAATCTGGGACTACTCCTTTAACATGAAAACCCAACTTGAATCATGTTTGTATTTTAGTGTAAGCAGGACTTAAAGGAGCTAAACCTCTACTCTTTGGATCCTAAAATGGCCTAAAATGGATCTAAAAGCACATATTAAAGGGCCTAAAATGGATCTAAAAGCACATATTAATGTAATACGAATGTAGCCTATATAAACCAATTCGCATTCAATATTTAAATTGCTTTGTATGTTTGGTAAAATACTTAAGCATTCCAAATTTAATGCCGGTTTGACATTTCACTTGTGGACTGACAATTTGCCTTGCTCACCAAGGTAGCTCAACAAACTGTCTTAAATCTGGACATACTAACCCTCGGCTGTCTGTCTACAGTTAGGTCCATTTGAGATCAGGCACTAAGCTAGTTGATCAACATTTTAAATCCTAAATCAACGATTTTAGTCGAAAACACTAAGCATACTTCGAAAATTTTGTTAAGTAGTTAATCTGCTTCCATTTAATAAAATTGAAAAAGTTTAGTTAGTCTTTGTGTGTATGACAGATGTGAAATGGAACAGAACCACATTACAAAACAGTATACTCATTTTTGCATATGGTGGCCATTTAAAGCAGAGAACTATTCTCGAAGTATGAGGGGAGATGGATATCTGTGTACAGAAAGATATATGGAATATCAGGCACCAATATTTTCACTATAAGATAACAAGTCAATATTGATTGAAATAGACCAATATTGAGTTCTAATTGCTGTTTTTAATTTAGAATATTATGGACAATGTTGAGTTAGAGATTTAGCTCCTTTAACTATTCTGTTAAAGTTACAATTTCATATTTTTAAGTTATATTTTTAAAATGTATTAAAATAAAGCCCTAAAATAGATGGTATCTATAAACAGTCCTACCTTGTTATCGAATAATCCTATTAATCCTATAATTCACTATTGCCAGTTGAGAAATTGGCAAAAATATAATTTTCAATTTCAAATTCAAACGTTTGAAGATAGCTATTTCATGGTGGGGAATAGGAAAACAAGGGAGGTAATTGTGTTATTATTTCTGGTGTGAAGATTTTTAAGTGTGAGAAAGATAACCTATGATCGTATAATAATGAGTTGACAACCTATTGAGCAAAAGACATAGAAATAATTATGTTTTGACTTTCTTAGAAAATATGAAATTGTAACTTTAATATGTTTTGTGTGGACTGGCCTTAAGTCTATAGAAATAATAGTTATCTTACGATACTGTACTAATTCAATCGGTTTTTGTCTTCTTTTTCTCACAGACTGGACCTGAATGGACATCAAATCATGGCAGGATTTTCCAAAATGATTGCTTTGTATTGAGGAATAGTGAAGCACAATATATTGATTCTACAACATATATTGCAAGCACAAAGGTGTAATTGATTTTCAATGATAAAGGTGACATTAAAACATACATAATATGATATCTATTAAAACATTTAGAAGTATATATAAATGTAGATCCACCTAAAATTGAAATTAATTAAAATATAAACGTCTGGCAAAAAAAACCCAACATATCAATATTATACCCGTTTTTTTGTTTAAATAATAAAATATTTATATTTTATGTCAACAAAACTAACTAAAATATAAACTTCTGGAAAAAAATAAATATTAATATTATATTTATCTGAAATTAAAACATGTCAAAGTTTGTATATTCAAAAGATATAAACAGTGCAATATTAAAACATGGTTTATATTTTAAACATGAATATATTGATAGATTTCAACAGCAGATATATCAAACAAACGGTATAGAAAACATAAAATATTTAAATTCACAAAAAAACATTCACAGACAAACTTCGAATTACCAAAACTCTGAAATTCTTTTCACATGCAGAAGGAGCACAGTGCGAAGACTGATTCAACATTGTTTATGCTAAACTCACCCAACCCAACCCCAAAAACTTATTGGAAATGGGACCACTTTTGGTAATTATTTGGCTATGTTAAAGCAGAGGGTGAGGGTGAGGGCATAGTGCCCTTTTTTAAGCTCCCATGTTATAAAAACAAGGTAGAAAAAGGTTTCAAAATAAGCAGAAATATGGATGTTTTGGAGAATAATTCAACATTTAAGTAATGGCAGCAAAGCTAAAGAAAAACATTTAGGTGAGACAATTTTCCCTATCACTATCTACAAATCCTTCAACTTTCTGGAATTTGTTGATGAACATTTGAGTAAATTCCCCAATTTGTCTGTGAATGGGTTATATTTCATGTTGTGTATATTTGTGTACAGATCCTGTAAAACATTTTGATCAGTAAGTCAGGAGTTATCTCCCATTTACCTTTACTCCTCTATTGAAACTCAATATGATGCCAATGAATTTAATCGAAAGAGAGAGAGAGAGAGAGAGAAATGGGGTTTAACGACCACTTGACACAAACTAGGTCATTTCGAGACTAACACATGGTTCAATTTTATTTCAATAATTCGCATGCGCGTAGGGGTCTTTAGCAGTGGGAGGAAACCGGAGTACCCGGAGAAAACCCATGAGGTTGGACAGGCGACCCTACTCCTTGTCACGTACAACCGGATATTCAAAACCACGCCAGTTGACTCAATGACAGACCTTATAATACAGCGCGCACATGCTAACCATTCGGCCATCCAACACCCCTTAATCGAAAGAATTCCCAAAAATAAGCCACTAATCTCAGAAGGTTTTCCCCATGGTTTTTCTGATAAATATGAGAGAATTTTAATATTCATAGTTTACACAAATATTAATTTCTTTCACATTTAAAACAATCTATAGTGGAAAGAAATGACGTAAGAAATTTCAAGCTTTTAAGCTATGAAGTATGAAGACGTGAAATTTTTGTCTGAATTACAAAGAAACCCCTGAGTTCCTGATCAAAAGACTTAAATGCTAAATCTGCCAAGTTCAAATGTGTTTAATTGATTATATTAAGGCATAGGGCGAGTTGTAAATTTGAGGAATTTAAAAAAAACCTGATCGTCATTCACATTTTTTTGGGACAATATCTGAATTTTCCAAAGCTTAATCCATGCTAAATTGTAGTCACATGGATAATTCAACATTTATAGATACATTATGGGAGATAAGATAAAGAGATGGCAGTTTTCGCTATAATAGTTAAAAACTAGATAGTGTAAAGGTAATTTGCTGAAAATTTCAGTCAAATTGATAAACTATGAGCCGAGAAAGAAGCGGTTGAAATTTTTGCATAGTCTCAGTCATCATTACTAAAATCATTTATATAAACAGCATAGTCTCGATTATCCACTTTTTCTGATTTAATTATCAACGGCTGTTAGCAGCATATAGGAATCTAATCCAGCCAACATCGAAGGCTAGCCTTGACATCGAGAGTTTATTATGGTCTGGATAAGTTGATTAATGTCTAATTGATAATTTAGATAACATTTCAGGCCTAAAGAAAGACTTGTAGCAGATTTTGCTCTTGCATAATGCATGTTTAATTAAGAAAAAAAACAAGATATTAGATTCAAATGGATTAAAAAGAGGTCTATCAAAATATTTTACTTAATACTATGGGGGGGGGGGGCTTGTCTATATTGTCTAAAATGGATGACAAATATTGGGAAATTTTTAATTCATAATATCTTTATAAATATTGAACGGAACTGAACCATTTCAGGACTGCTATTCAATTTAGAAATTCAAGTTTGCAATAGATTGTTCAATGCCTCGAATGACGATCAGTGGCTTTAATGTTGGGTCAAATTTTATGCAATGAAATGTGACATGAAATCAATCCTTGGCCTTTTCAGCATTTTGGTCGGAAGTGTAATAATCAAGAGAGTAGGATCTTTGCGTTGCATGTGTCATGTTTGTATGTTGTGGTGGAACAGATCAAAGATATGTTAATCAAATCAACTCACACTTCACTTTGCATCGACGAATGTCTAGACATAGACTTAGGAGAAAGTTCATAATCGCTGTCTGATCGATATAAAAACGACTCTCTTCTCTGGGGCAGGTTGTTGAGTACCAGGCCACTGGACGGACTACCTCCTGCTTCAAGCGGGCTGCGACCAGGTGCTCCCCCATTTTCAACATCAAAACTGAAAAACATAAATTTATTTAATTAATTAATTATGCCAAGAGAGAAATCAAACAAGGAAATAAAGAAACAAAATATGGTTCCACTGATCACAGCTATGTCATTTTGAGCCACCACATTGAAATAGTGGGTTAATTTGCAGCCATTTATGTAACCACTTGAATGATTGTTGTATGTAATCATTATGTGGACTAGTTTATGTAATCATTTATGTGGACCGTTTTTATGTAATCATTAATGTGGACCGTTTTTTTTATGTAATCATTATGTGGACTAGATTAACTGATTATGTAACCATGTGGGCTTGTTTATGTAACTATTAGATGATTATGTAACCACATGGATTTGTTTATGTAGTCATTAACGTGGACAAGATTCCCTGATTATGTAATCATGTGGGCTTGTTTATGTATTCATTATACCATGTGGACATGTTTGTGAACCCATTATACCACTGGATTGACTGATGATGTAATCACATGGACTTGTTTATGTAGTTATTATACCACTAGATTGGCTAATTATGTTTATGTAATCCTTATACCACTAGATTATACATTATGTAATCAAGCTGACTAGCCCTATGTAATCATTCTAGTGAAGCTGCATATGTTATCACTGATTTATGTAATCATTTGGGCTTGTATAGTTTTGTGGTTTTGTTTTATTTTATCATATTTAATACAGTTTTTTTATGTAATACTCTAGGGGATATAATTCATAAAACTGATTTTGTGTGTGTAATCTTTGCTGATGTGATGACTTATTTAATCTTTTGATAGACTTATTAATGATGAACATGCAATCATCAGGGTTCATATTTGGATTTGTTTATGAAATCATTTATTTTCGAGAAAGCCGACATTCAGTGAATCAGCTTATGACGACTGACATCAAATGAGTTCGTAACCACTTAGAAATATTTATAAACTTTTACAATTTGTGGTCACCCTCCTCTTTGTTTTTTTTTTATTTAATTGATCAGCAGAATAAGAGAAAAATACATTTCTAGAGCACATTTAGGAAAAGACAACAAACAGCTTTGATTACTGAACTATGTTTTATAACAAACTTAATAGCAATATCATTAATCAATCTGAGAACATCATCAACATTGAATAATGTTATTAGATTAGCTGTGTAATCCATCTTTATTATCCCAAAAACCCACAAAACCCAACAAGTATCATATTCTCTATCCACACATGTGTTACATTATCTACACCAAATGTGCCAAATATAAAAAGCACATGTTTTTTGTTAACTGTATCAACAGTATTGATTCTTTCAGTACAGCTTTATATTCTGGATATATTATTTAATTTACTTCTATTTCTAAATCCTGTTTGCTTTCTACACTTATTTTAAGCACTTTCCCGAAATTCTATCAGGATTATCACTTTTATTATTGTTAATTTTTGGACATTCTAGTGTATGATGTCAACTGACAGACTATCGCCACCAAGAACTATCATTCACGAGACAACCATAGCCATGAGCATTATTGCGTCTTCCTTGTAAATCATTGTTTTGTTCATCCTTTTGAGTGCAGTCTGTTTCATTAGATGCCTGGAACTGTACAGCACAGTGGATGCTTACAGCTGGCCCCAGATCTATTCACTTGATTTGATATTTATTGTTTATTTCTTGCACTGTCTGTCGTTTTTGTCTTGTCCACAGGTTTGTCTTTTCGTTTTGTTTGTGTGTAGTGTGGTCCCCTTGATAATAATACCTCACAAGGAGAGAGAGGTCATATAGGCTATGCCTGTTCCTCAATACCTTTCAATTTTTGAATAAAATATTGTTCCATTACCTACATGAAATGTGCCAAATATAAAAAACGCACATGTATTTTGTTAACTGTATCTGGAGTGCTGATTCTTTTAATACAGCTTTATAAAAAAAAAATGAGTATAGATGAGGAGGATATAAGTCAATAATTATCGTTTGACCATATCAGATATATCATCAACAGTCAATGCCGAATGAGGACAAATTTTCCATCCATTATATCTTTGTAAATACTCAAAGGAATTGAATCATATTGGACTGTTAATTGCTTTTAGAGATTCATCATTCACAATATTGTATGACTTGTTAGCAATTTGGTTTATTTACTCTACAAGTATTAAATATATATATATATATTATCCTTTTAAAAACTTCATGTATATATGTTTTAGATGTTTTAGTATTTGTAATTGATCTATGATCTTAATATCGTCATTTATCTTAATGAGTGACATTTTTGCACCAATCGATTAATCACATTGCGCTAAATGTAAAATCACATTAGTAAATGAGAACACAATGGTATTCTAACATAATTGATTAGTACTTATTATTATTTTTTAAGTAGGGCTTATGTCGACATTACAACTGTGAGCAACTGCTTTCAACCAATTGAAAGTGTGCTTATGTCGTTATGTCAATCAAATCAGCACTCGAGGGAAACTGAGTGCAACTGAATTCAGAGCGCTCATATCAATTTGGAACGACAGCAATTACACTGAATACATGACTGTTTTAAAACTTAGTTATCATGTGATCAACAAAATGGTGAATACTTTAGAAGAAGCACCCTAAAGACCTGGTCGGACTTGCCACAATTCTTTTACTACATTTGAAAAGTGGATTATGCCTTCGTTTGCTTCCATTTTGCCTATTCATAAAGTCACTAGAGAAGCCTAGTCATTGAAATGTCGCTTAGTAATAGGCAGTAATTGAATTCCATAGCATTGTGATCTGTTAATTCCAGTTATATTACTAAATGCCATTGAAACAATTTGAAGATGAATGACTGACATAGCTAAGATTCACATAATATCATCTCACAGTTTAAAATCTTATTTTTTCCATTCTTAAAAAGGAGATAAAACAAATATTCGATACGAAATTTCTAGAGTGAGAGACCAATGATATCATTTTGGGACAAACATATTGTATATTTTCCTATGCTGGACCTTTTCTGTGGAATAAACTACCAAAGTCAATGAAGCAATTAACGTCAGTGTGCCATTTTAAATCTCAACTCAAAACATTTTGATCTGTAAATAATCAGTGAATATAACACCAAGTGTCTTAGAAACTGTTCTTCAGTATTAATACGCTTTATAAATGTTATTATTATTATATGTTTAACTTATTGCCACTTTGCAGAGCTTTTTAGCAGAAAACCGGAGAACCTGGAGTGAACCCACATGATTAGATGGGTAAGCTACCTTCTTGTTAATCAGAAACACTACACTCAATTTGATGACAGAGAAATATGTGTCAAAATTAAACTATCTTACAAAAAAAATTCACTCATTAATTTTTAATTTTTTTAAAGCTTTCTTTCAAAATACATCAAATTTACGTTACACAAAAACATCAGAAACTGATTCACAGAGTTTAATTTTTTCAAGTTTCAATTCCAAAAGTTACATGTGCGGTTCAAAATAATCTAAAAACTGTATCTACCATAAAAATCAACCATTTAAAACTATTATCTAATACTTCTTTTAAAATGACTTATACAATAACCACTGAGGTGGATTTACAAATTTTAATTTCTCAAAGTTTCTTATCCACAATATTAAAAAGTTTAAAATAAACACTTTAAAATTAAATTTTAACAATAACCACTGAGGTGGATTTACAAATTTTAATTTCTCAAAGTTTCTTATCCACAATATTAAAAAGTTTAAAATAAACACTTTAAAATTAAATTTTAAAAATTACTCACACAAAAACGTCCGAGACAGATTCCCGAAGTTTCATTTCTCGAAGTTTCATATCCAAAATATTATAAAGTTTAAAATAAATACTTTAAAAAGGTATAAAAATATCATTGAATTGTTGTATTTCCTGTTATTTCAAGTGTAAATAACCTAATACTAAGTTACTTATTTTCCCACTCATTGAATTGGCACATCAAATAATACATCGGATATTGGTACCCTTCATACAATACGACCTTCTTATTTTTACATCATATTTGACATTATGCTCTTAAGTCCTATTGATCTAAGCTACAGCTGGAGAGTAGTAATGACGTCAAGACATACTATACTATGTGAAATGTGAGATGAAAAATATGTGTATAACAGTAGTAGTCTCTTGTAATGCAACCAAAGTACCAAAACATATAATTATTTGTGTTCTCTGCCCTGGAAGACAATCTTAAAACAAATAACAGACAGTTGGTGTGAAATGTCATTTATTAAATGACGACTGAAACATACGTTCTGACAGAAATGAAATGTATTGCATTAAAAGATATGTGATATATCAAAACTATCAAGCAACTCAACACAAACAAGGTCATATGTGGGATTAACATATGGTTAAAATCTATTTTCAATAACTCGCTTGCATGTAGGTTTTATTTTTTTATCAATGGGAGAAAACCGGGAACCTGGAGAAAACTCATAAGGTTGGACAGGCAACCCTACTCCTTGGCATGTGCAAGCTTGGGATCGAAACCAATCCACCTGACTCAAGGTTAGATCTTATGTTCTAAAGCATACAGTGGTGTTTGAATTGAACAAAGAGTAAGTGAAAATGCCATTGTCCTGGATAAAGTTCTCTAGTAGCACACTGCATGGCATATGTACATCTTCATTAGCTGGGTAGGTGAAGAAAACTCAATTTAATTTCTAATTGTTCCATCCATACTCTTTTTCCTGTATCATTTGTAATATCTTTGTTCTATTGTGCTGGGGGGGGGGGGGGTCACGGTGGCTAAGTTGGTAAGACGCTGGCTCTCTAGCCTGGAGGTCGGGTGTTCGATCCCTGCATTGGTCGAGAAAGTTCACCCATATTTTCTGGCGTTGTTGCCCCTTGTCAGTGATGCAGGACGGAGGGTCCAACAAGGACAGCCGTCTAGTCGTTTGGATGGTACGAAAAACTGAGGTCCAGTGAACACATTGCCGTGCACGTAAAAGATCCCTTGACAGTTGGAATTCGATATAAGAGTAGGCCATAGTGCCGCTGTCCAGCCAAAATTTCCCTCATAGCACACTGTATGGCGTAAGCCCGTCTTCATTAGCCCAGTTCGGAGCAGAACGGTAGGACATTAAACCCCATTTCATATCATTTCTATTGTGCAGGTATCCAGCATTGTCTTTTTGACTTTTGAAATATAGGAATTCTAACACCATACAATTTTTTAGACAAATCTGTAAAACATTTATGTGAAGGTGTCTGACAACAGGTGCTGCTTTCCAGTTTGAGAGAATTAAAAGTCTGGCTGTCAAGTCATAATCTCCATGAACCATCTCTACAACACACATGTGAACATAGCTTTAGTGTCTGAGCAACACATGTTCTCTACAGCCTATTGGTTTTGTTACATATGTGTCATTATGTATTATACCCTGTTCAGATGCTTATTTTTAAACCAGTTTAAAATCGCTGGGGTTTTTAAGACAGGATCGTGTTGCGTTCACACATACTGTAAGCCAAACCAGTTTCTTCAGTCGGGGGTTAGAGTTAACTATGCATGGGTAGCTTCGTATTCTATATTCGGTTCTTGCACACATCTGCAGACTTTGTACCCATTTTATAGAAAGTATAAAACATTAGATGAGAAAACAGGGATTTATTTAAAATGCTTATGTGTGTCGAATAAAAAATTTATCGATTCTGGAAAGGAAATTTTGCATGTACACATGTGACGGCATTATATTCTCAAATGGTATTACTTTGAAAAAGATATGGATGGTGTCCTCTCCCCAATGATCGCCAGGTTTTTAAACCTGTTCAACTTAAGCGTCTGAACGGGCTATTATATACAATGTTTTCTAATGAAATGGGGTTTAACGTTATACTTTTCTTATAGAGTGTTCTAACGTGTGGGCTTTAGATCATAAAGACGTATTTCGATCTCAAGCGTGTCAATATATTGCGATATTTTAATCAATGATGATAAATATATGAGCAAATATTTTATTCCTTAGTGTTGGGTGGAACATGTGTGTTTGGCTTTAGTCTATAGGTACATATGTCTGTATGTATCATATGTTTATACAGGCTAATGTCTGACGGCTGTGCACTACATGTCCTTATGTTGTACTCTTCGAAGAAAAACAACGGGCACAATGATCTCAGATTTTTTCTCTCTCTGTGAATAAAACCAATCCTACATCAACTGTTACTTGGTCGATGTTCCAAGTGTGAAGTAATATTTTCGTTATTTGTTAGCCAGATCATGCTCAAAATGTAATATACTTTATACAATAAGAGATAGAGAGAGAAATGGGGTTTAACGTCCACTCGACACAAACTAGGTCATTTCGGGACTAACATATGGTTTAATTTTATTTCAATGATTCGCTTGCGGGTAGGGGTCTTTAGCAGTGCTAGGAAACCGGAGAACCTGGAGAAAACCCACGAGGTTGGACAGGCGACCGTACTCCTCGTCACGTACAACCGGGGATTCGAAACCTCGCCAGTTGACTCAATGAAGGTCTTATGATACAGCACGCACGTGCTAACCATTCGGCCGTCCAACCCCCCTTTATACAATAAAATGACGCAGTTCTCTTGAATATAAACAGGAGTTTAGCTGAATAGAATTGATTGTTAAACAAACATCATGCAAGAGCTAAATCTGCCTATTGTAGGTCTTTCATTAGGCTTGAAATGTTATATCTAAATTATATCAATGAGACATTAATTAACTTATCCAGGTCATAATCAACTCTTGATGCCTGTGATATTTACATTTTGTGAATGATAATTAAACGTAACAATGGATAATCAAGACTTTGTTTTTTATCATACCGACTTTAGTAATGATGATTGAAGCTAGCCGAAAATTTAAAAACCAATATCTCGGTTCAGAGTGGAGGAATTTTCAGCATATTCTATTCACATTATCTAGTTTTTAACTATTTTTACGAAAACTGTCAACCCTTTATCTAATCTCCCATAATGCCCCTTTAATGTTTTACTTTACAAAGTCTGTAATTGAATAACAATGTCTGCAATTGAATTACAAAGTCTGCAATTGAATAAAATCCAACAAACAAGACCAGAGGCACACAACATCTAACAAACTTGAACTCAATAACAATCAATTTTTGTGAATATCTTTCCTAAGTTTTTGATTGTCTAAATATACAACTGGCATGATCATACCCACTCTATAATTGGCTACAAACTATACAAATCTACTAGACTCCCCCCCCCCCTCCTCTTACAAACCAACTAGACCTCACTCACCCTGCAAACCAACTAGACCTCACCCACCTTACAAACCATCTAGACCTCACCCACCTTACAAACCATCTAGACCTCACCCATCTTACAAACCATCTAGACCTCACTCACCCTGCAAACCATCTAGACCTGACCCACCTTACAAACCATCTAGACCTCACCCACCTTACAAACCATCTAGACCTCACCCATCTTACAAACCATCTAGACCTCACCCATCTTACAAACCATCTAGACCTCACTCACCCTGCAAACCAACTAGACTTTACTCACCCTGCAAACCAACTAGACCTGACCCACCCTTTTTCCTGTAAGTTTTCAATGGCCATTGATTCACTTCTGATTTTTGATTGACGTAATTTACTTTGAAGAATTAGTTTATTAGTGTGATAGGTCAAAGCTGTCTGACATTGTTTGTAATCTAAAGATTACCTGTAGGCTACTCTCACCACCTGCTTGTCTTCTTGTCGACTAATTTCTCTCCCTTCCCGTCTGCTATATTTACACTAGCCAACAGACGTCTGCTGTCTGTATATATTAACTACTACATTCCTTAATCACCCTTAACTTTACAAAGATTCTAACCCCATGTGTTAAATAAGAGAGAGAGAGAGAGAGAGAGATAGAGAGATAAAGAGAGAGAGAAAGAGAAGGAGAAACAAGGTTTAAGTTCACTAGACACAAACTAGGTCATTTCGGGACTAACATATGGTTCAATTTTATTTCAATAATTTGCTTGCATGTGAGGGGTCTTTAGCAGTGGGAGGAAACCCACAAGGTAGGACAGGCAATCCTACTCCGTGTCATGTACAAGCAGGAAATCGAAATTCAATAACAAACCTTCTGGATCAACACGCACGCATTAACCTTTCCGCCACCCAACCCCCGTGGTTGGTGTCGAAATGAAATGAAATGGAGTTTAACTGTCTACTTTTCTACTCCGATTGGGCTAAGGAATATGGGCATACGCCATACATTGTGCTATGAGGGAAATTTTTCCTGACAACAGTACTACAGTCTACTCTTATATCGAATTCCAACTGCCAAGGGATCTTTAATGTGTACGCCAATTGAAATAGTTGGTGTAGAGAAGTAGGGTTGAATGAATGAATAAATAGGGTTTTACCTCCCACATTTCTGCACCACCTGAGCTAATGAAGACAGGGAGAAAAGTAGAACTTTAAACCCCATTTCATTTCACAAAATAATACCCCTGGGTTACCTTACTAGTAAAACCATCCAGTAATTTTAAAATGATACGTTTTACGAAAATCAAGCACAAGAGATCAATAGACGAGTTCTAAATTGATCATTTTATCCTCTAATCAAGGGTTATTTGATACCAGAGCTTATATTTTGGTGGAGATCAAAAATTCTTTTAATACTTATCAGTAATATTAGTGTAGAGTAACGATATAATAATAAAAACCTTTTAACATTCAGACCAAATTGAAGTCTGGAAAAGTCATCATTAAATAAATGATTGATTATAGAGTATGTAAAACTCCCAAATCTAGTTTAGATTAATATCAGAATACGTGATGGAACCGAGTTAATGACGCATCAACGGTAATACTTCTATTATTTAGAGACAAACCTGGTGAGAGAAATGGGGTTTAACGTCCACTTGACACAAACTAGGTTATATTGGGACTAACATGTGGCTCAATTTCATTTCAATAATTTGCTTGCGCGTTGGGGTCTTTAGCAGTGGAAGGAAACCAGAGGAGAAAACCCACATGGTTGGACAGGTGACCCTACTTGTCACGTACAACTGGGGAATTGAAACCATGCCAGTTGACTCAATGACAGACCTTATGATACAACATGCACATGCTAACCATTTGGCCATCCCACCCCCGGACAAATCTGGTAATATTTATCTCAACTATTATGTGTACAGTGCAATGCGAGGTATGAGAATTTTGCCCAGACAGTGGTGTTTCCACTTATCCTTTATCAAGGGTTCTTCTTTGTCCACAGTAATGGGTGAAACTTGTTTTTTTTGCCCCATCCAATGGACTAGAACAGGCTTGAAAAATGCTTAAAGGTTTTTGTCAGTCCAAGTCAGGATTCAAACCCAGGACTACCACAGATCTAAGAAGCTGTTGATAATATAAAGTTTTGTATAAAATAATCTTGATAAACTGTCGAGGGATGTGAGCTGGGTCATCCAATCAAAATTAGTGATGAAATTTGCAGGGTATTACGTGAAGGGCTTGATAAGAGTTAAAGCGAGATCAAACCTTCTATTGAAGATGTAGCACATAGGCTTGGATTAACCGTGTGGTGGGACCGCCCCGGGGACAAGTCAATGTTGGTGGACCAAATGAGAGCCCAAAGAATGACCTTCATATTTTCAAATCTAATCTAAAATCTCTTGTTTATTCAATGTAACTTTTGATCTTGTACTAAACCCAAAATGTGGGGGAGCCAGGGACATTAGCCCCACTTTATCCAACTAGATCCGGTAGTAGTAGCACACCGGTAATACAAAAAGCATAATCTAATAAATCTAATAATAATGCGACGATGTGCCAAAATGTAAATCATGGTTCTCCTTACAGTACCTTTTATCAAAGAAATCCAATCTCATCGACCTATTCCGTTGCAGCCCCTTTGATGACCTTTTGAACTTTCTCTGACTCTGAATACTGCTAGACATTTCCACAACTGTGTTAGAGAACGATCGCTGCGCTAACATTATCCCCGAATTTTTTGATCTAGAACCATCCCATTTCACATCACTCATACCCCCCTCAGTGGACGACGCAGTCACCAAATGCTGGAAGGTGTTCAAATCACAATTTAGTTCTGGGCTTGGTGTCGGTGTCGGTTGTGCGACTGGTTTTTGCCGAACCAATTTCGATGTCTTTGAGCCCAGCTCATCCAATCCAGACAATTTTAAATTAGATCGCAAACCATGTGAATCTTTCATTGACTTGTAACTTGGCAACTGAAGAAACTTAGTTGCTGTCGTGCCGCCACTAGTTAAATCCTTTTCAACGTTTTCCGATATCCCAGATTCGGGAAATTCAGTTGCCACGTTTTCTTCAATCAGCTGAAGATTCCCAGATTTTTGTTGGAGACTTCCGGATTTTTGTTGGAGACTTCCAGATATTTTCTCCACTTTTGAGGAATCACTTTCTTGATATTCAAATGCACTAAATTCATGACTGGCAAAAGATCTGGAAACCGATTTGGAACTGATCAAATCTGGGACGTCATTAACTCTATTTGATAATCCCCGGCTTGATCCAACAGATTTATCCAAAATGCTTGACTTTTTAAATTTTTCATCCGTAAAAGCATTATCCAAACTGTGAATACCAAACTTATCCTGCGAGGCAAAATAGCTACCTCCACTTAAGAAATTTCTATTCGTAGATAACTGACCAACAGGTAGTTTCTCCGAGATTTTCATAGAAGTATCTGTGGAATTCGTTACATCTGGTCTTTGTAGTTTTTGTGTCTTTCCGCCAAATGGTAATTGTTTGTCCTGCGATGACATTTTCCAGCTTGCTTTGATATCTTTTCTGACCAATTTATCAGCCATCTTGAGGATAATGAAATGGCAAGGTAGGATGGGATAATCTGGATTGTCTATTTTTGATACGTGAACGTAATACCTGGTATAAATAGTTATTTATCGCAAAGGAAACAGCTAGAATAATATCACTGCTCAATAGTCTAGTTATACCACTCAGTTAAGACACCCATACTGTATATACAAATGTAAAACAAAACGAAACAACCTTAATGGAACTTTGACCTTTTCTACACCTGCATGAGTTCTTCAAAGCAGACGTCATACTAATTCATCCTATTTGACTTTTGGTATTTTCATTTGGTTTGAGTTAAACTCTTTGTAAATTAATGGTCAGATGTACGAATAGCCTGGCTATCAAGAGTCGTAGTTTGTGTTAAAATTAGCTGACATCAAAATAGCGACGAGAAGCAGGTGTGTCCTATTGCAGATCAATAAAGCTTTCAATTTTTGGAAGTATCGGAGGATTTAACTATTCCGTTGGGATCAGCCTTCTCTAAAGTAATGAAGTCTGTTTGCTAATTTCTTTTTTTTGTCGGTGAATGTACGTCGTCAAAGTCAAATCAAGTACAACCCAGATCCCGACACAATTTTCTCCACGTAACTGATTTTCCAATCAGCCCTTCTCAAGTAATCAAGTTGTCTTAAAGAACTTTTCTTCGTCCACACAGGGTAAGCATATAATCCCCGTACAATATCACTTCTACAGAATACCTTGCAAGCACAGTCTTACTCTCAACACAATTTCTCTCCTAACCGAAGCTCTCTTACAAACCAATTTCAACAGTAATCCAAAGAGAATTTCTCTTCCATAAAAACTTTCCCCTGGATTCCAAACTAAACGTCTCTTCCAATTAAATTTTCAACCTTATTCTTGAATTTTCTCCTCAAAAATTCAGATTCTTTTGTCTAACTGAATTTTTAAAATGATATCTTCATAATTTATTTTAATTCTAAAACACATAAAATCTGTGAAGGCACACAATTTCACTTCAAAAAACTTTTCTCTTGACTAATTTTTAAACAAATTATCTTCACTAATTTTTAAACAAATTCTTTTTCAAAAGATCAAGTAATCCACTGAAATAACCTTTTCACTCAGTGTACAAATTAGTCTATTTAATGTCAATAAAATCTTATTTTATTAAAACATCCCAACATAATCTAAGTGAAATTTCTTAATTCAACTAATTCACAAATAGATCAACAGTCCACTTATTAAAAAACTTTTTTTCTCCTTGTAAATACTAAAACATCCCAGCCAAATCTGGCTGAAATTTCCCTATTTAACTAATTTCCAAAAAGATCACCAGTCCATCTAAAAGAGTGAAGTAGCCCATTAATAACACATTCCATATACACAATAGGTCTAGTCCAGACACCATCTGATTTCAACATAATTTCTCCACTATAAACACGTCAAGCACAATATTATTCTAGCTGAATTTCCACACACTGAATCAATCTAAAATTTCCAACCATGGGTTAATGTGCTAAATGCTTTTAAGTTCGCACTGATAAAAAAATATCTGATATCAAATATAACTTTACATTTCACAACATAAATGCGTATTTCAATACGAGCAAGTTAAAATTGATAACTATTCCATCATCATTTTCCACCAATAAAACACATTACACCACAAATTGCATTAATATTTGATAATATCATTTAATACGACGTATATATTGCTGTATAGCAACAGTTAACGTTACGATGAAAACAGATCTTTATGCAAGGCTGCAAAATTCATCTATGAAATATTTTCACAAGAAAATTAAGGTCACTCTTCACAAACCATTAAAATTTAAGAGCTGCAGAGTGATTGTTCACAATACAACGGAAAAAAAAACCATGAGAATTCAAGAGCTCCAAACCCTACAAAATTTATCTGTATAAAAGTATTCCCACTAGAAATTTGAAGTCACTGTTTACAACGAAACCGACGCAAGTCCCGAGAATTCACAAGTTTCATAAATGACATCTACAAGTGTAGTTAAATATTACAATGAAACTGAACACATGGTATATAAAGTCTACAAAATTCATCTACGAAATATTTCCACAAGAAATTTAATCTCACTGTTCACAATGCAACAGAACAAACTATAAGAATTCAAGAGTTGCAAAATCTACAAAATTTGAAAGTTAATATGTCCACAAGAAATTTAAAATCAGTTTTCACAAACCATCAGAATATACAAGTTGTAAAGTGTGCAAAAAATATCTGTAAAATATTTCCACAAGAAATTTAAAGTCAGTGTTCACAAACCATGAGAATGTACGAGTTGCAATTATTTCCACAAGGACTTTAAAGTCAGCATTCACAACACAACTGAATTAACCAATGAATATTATCATTCATAAAAGATCATAAAAAAAATGTTCCATTGTCCTCTCGACACAGAGGGATTTACATTAATGTGAATTTCTTAATAGAAGATCTCGTCACTCAAGGAAATAAATCTCTGTAGAAGTCAAAAAGAATATTTCTATTTGATAATCCCCTTTAGAAATACTTGTTAAAAGATCCAAGTCAAATAATCTCATGTTTACTAATGGTTTCATTCACGTCTCAACAGTGAGTGCATTTGTGTGTTTAAATGATTTAAAGGTCGTTAAATAGGGTTCAGATAAAATAATGTAATTTAATATCTATACTAGTAGTTTGTAATTAATATCCGCTTATAGTTTACCAGACCACATGTGCACATGACAGCACATTACAAGTTGCTAAACAGGAGGTCTCCGGGTTTGTTCCTCGGTGTTGGCAGAGAAATATAAGCATGATTTTCCGGCATGGTTTCCGCTGATCATATGTGCAGGACGGAAGGCCTGATTAGGAACAGTGTATACTCATTCGGAGGGTACGGAAAACTGAGGTCCGATGTACACATGTCAACAAAAGACATTCTCACAGCTTGGATTCAATCGGATGAAAAAGAGGTCCATTAAAAATTTTTCAGCAATGCTTATTGGTCCATGGCAGTGGCTAGTTCTGACCACATCCCATTATACTATCTGCAGAGAATGTCACATCTTTATAAATACAGAGGGGGTTGGGTGGCCGAATGGTTAGTGTGTGCACGTGGTATCAGAAGGTCTGTCATTTAGTCAACTGGCATGGTTTTTATTCCCCGGTGGTACTTGACATGTAGTATGGTCACCTACCTTGTGGGTTTTCTCCGGATTCCTCTCACTGCTAAAGACTCCTACGTGAAAAAAAACTGAACAATACAATATGTTCATCCTGAAATGACCTAGTTTGTGTCGAGTGGACATTAAACCCCCACTCTCTCTCTCTCTCTCTCAAATACAGAATTGAATTGTGCCGTTTTTGGACAGATATGCCTTTCAGAGAATATTGTAGTTGGCAAATTTGAAACCCCTAAAATGATGATCCGCTGCTTTAACAATATTATAGTTTACACCGGATTCACAACCCATCAAATATCAACTATGACATGACAGAACATGTTGCTTTCAAAGTAAATATCTCACAACTCACAAACTAGCGACTCAAGGTCTGCCTAATAAAGGGTCAGAGTAGCGTTATATTACTTGATACATGTATAACACTATCAGAAATTAAAATGCCCGGTGCAGATCCTAGTGAGGGCCTAGCCCTCCCCCCTCTAAATAAAAGTAGAAACAATTTAATTATTATTCTGTTTCCATGAAACTTGTAAATTTTAACTTTTTGTTGGTAGGGGTGAAGGAGCAGATGAAATTGAATGTTATATTCAGGTACAGATATGTGCTCCAAATCACCACTGACACCCCGATTTTTCTAAATTTCTCAGAGGAGAGCCCACCACCCCAACAAGGCCTCTCTCTAACCAAATATTCTGCATCTGCCACTGAAAATCCCTCTATATGTCACTGATCAGCAGAGATACGAGATTATGTCTTTCAATACCTGCATATTGATGTAGGAATAAAAATCCCCAACCATAAGGCTAACTTTTTTATGGAATGAACTTCCACTTTTTATTTCACAAAGAGAGATCCTCATCTTCTTCAGGGCTCCATTTTTTAAAAAAAAAACCCCAAAAAACTATTGACACGGGATAAAATATAATCAACAAAATCACAATTAGTGGAAATGGTGATCGACAGTATGAGAACTCACTGGTAAGCTGATACCATTGGCTGATGAACCTAGGCCTTTTAGTAATGACAATTTTTGTCATTAAATCATATAAGTGGTCAGTATTCTAAACTAATGTTTATTAGTGTGTATAAAAAGTGGTTAGATATTATACAGTTGTCATTAATAAACAGGTGTGTGTAACTAGCTATAAAAAATGTCACTACTGGTGTAAAAGCGTGACTATTTATAACACCCATCACTATTGAATACACAAACTTGGACAATAGTGGTGTATATCATTCAATAGTCATAGTTTTAACACCTTAGTGACAAAACACCTATTTAATGACTATTGCCTGATTACTAACAATTTTAACTAACTAATACACATTATGTATATAAACTGACAACTTTGATTTACTAGTGTCGTATATTTGCGTTTATAACAGTTATTTGATGCTAAGTCATTGATATCAACATTACAGTGACTGTATCTTTAAACGTCTATGTGACATCTAAACACTATTGTTAATGATTTACTATATAAATTGAAATATGATGGAAGAGAGAGAAACACCAAAATTACAATTACTGGTGATTGACAGTATGAGCACTGTATCTTTAAACTGCTGTGTGACATCCAAATACTATTGTTAGGATGACCCGTGCACTTTACAGAAAGTTGGTCTCGACACGGTTAAATGTGCACGCTTCAGTTGCGTGTCTCGAACTGATTTCTGACTACCCTGCACTCGCTTTGAGTCGATAAATAGCCATGGCACGTGCAATTCTCTACAAATATATCAACTATTACAGCCGTAAAAAATCTATTGTTGACGATTTGGAATAGCAGTAAAATTTTGCTTCTTGGTTATTACAGCAGCTTTAGTAATTACGTTTGTTTTATTTTTTAAATTGCTTTATCAATAACTGTACCGTTAAGAGCGGCATCTTTTGGTTTAGTACAAATACTATCTCTGAATCACTTTCTTTAGCAGGAACATGATACTAGCAGTAGTTTCATTTTACTTTTACAAGTTTCTTAAAACAATTGTTGAGTTGTCTAAAGTGCTTATTTCTAAATTCAATTTCTTGTTCTAGCTTTCTGTTATGTTTCGTAAAAAAGTAGTCTTGATTATCCCGACCTGTCAATCAGACGTAGAATGGTCGATAGACTGGTTAAGCGAGACTAATTTCAAAACAAGGGCACGTAACCTATCTTTTACTCAAAAGTGTCTGGATGTTATGGACACAACTTGGAACCAGTTTTCAGTCTATTATTTATAGATGATTAATGGTCATAGCTTATTAAGTACAACATGATCGTTTATTTAGTGACTATAATTGTGTGAAACTGATTTGAGGCTTGGCATATATATAAATATTGTGGCGTAATTGTCAAGATATTTGGAGATATTTATTTATGGTGGGTCACCCTACTATTGTTAATAATTTACTATATAAATTTAAATTAGATGAAGAGGCAGAAACGCCACTGTCGGGGCAAAATGTAACTCATTCATAAGTACACTGCAAGGTGTATACCGGTTTTTATTAAACCAGTTGGTACAGAAGAGTAAGAGAGAGAGAGAGAAATGGGGTTTAACGTCCACTCGACACAAACTATGTCATTACGGGACTAACATATGGTTTTTAATTTTATTTCAATAATTTCCTTGCGCGTAGGGGTCTTTAGCAGTGGGACGAAACCGGAGGACCCGGAGAAAACCCACAAGGTTGGACAGGCAACCCTACTTCTTGTCACGTACAACCGGAGATTCGAAACCACGCCAGTTGACTTAATGACAGGCCGTATGATACAGCGCGCATGTGCTAACCATTCAGCCATCCAACCCCCATGTATAGAGAAGTAGTATGTTAAAACACCATTTTCATTTCCTTTCACTGAAGGACAGTTAAACTGAGTTTCGAATTAGAATGTGAGAGTAATTCAAAGAGATTTTAATGGAAATGACCTTCGCTGTTTAAGAGTCTGAACAAATGAAAAATCAAGCCTTTGGGTGATTGCTTTTTTCAATAACAATTTTCTGATTTCTTTGAAAGATGTTCAGAAATTGGAAACTAAGTCTAAAGATATCTTAAGACTTTTAATTTCCCACTCAGAATAAAATGAACTCTTGGTGTGAAAATAATAGTTTTGTAACATATGTAGATCTTAGCTTGGAGTATTGATTGAGATCTAGTTGTCCTTCCGCTATTCTTCACGATCTCTCTGTTATTAGCTATAAGCTTCTTATTCGGTTTTTTTCTGTAAATGTTTTTTTTTTTTTATAATCTTCCGCAGTTAAAGGACACAGCCTCTGAATACAGGGATTAATCTCACTGCCACAGTGATAGAGAGTTTAACATCCACTCGACACAAACTAGGTCATTTCGGACAAACATATGGTTCAATTTTATTTCAATAATTTGCTTGTGCGTAGGGGTCTTTAGCAGTGGAAGGAAACCGGAGAACCCAGAGAAAACCCACTAGGTTGGACACTGGACAGGCGACCCTACTCCTTGTCACGTACAACCAGGGAATCGAAACCATGCCATTTGATTTAATGGCAGATCTTATGAGACAACAATTCTACAACGACTTGGTGAATTAGATTTTTGTATTTTATTCAACAACATGGTCAGTTCCTGGTACATAGTAGTTGTTATACTAATGAACACATATTTGCAAATTATTTGGGGCAATGCATGCATTTTCCCACTGACTAATGTTAATTCTTGTCTATTTGCCCAGCTCAAACCGTGTCCCAAATTTTCATTGGAGCAATTTGCGGCTACAACTTGCTCAAAGACACGTATGTCAAGGTCAACCATGGACATTTTGAGATATACATACTGTGAGCTCAAGCTCTCTAGTCTCCAGGTTACGATGGCTCTGGAATTAAGCATCATAATCGATACGGGCTACCATTTAATTCACTATGTGTTTTATCAGTCTGTTACATTAAACTGTTTAATAATACAACAAATGTATTTTGTATAAATAAGTAAGTTATCTATGTGTAATGTACTGTATCTCTATACCCTTTACACTTCAAATAAACACCTGCCAGAATATAAACAACCTGTAGAAATAAACACTGGAACCATGCACAACCATGTAGTTGAGGTGCACTGTCTAAAAATATCAAGAACATGTTTTGAAATGATGCAATAATTCTATTATTGGATCGCTTCCTTTTAAATTTTGGATTTTCTGGGGGTTTGTTTTGTGGGTTTTTTACTCCCGGTTTAATATACCCTCAACACAAAGTTGGTCATTTGGGGACTAAGATATGGTTCAATTTTATTTCAATAATTCGTTTGTGTGTAGAGGTCTTTAGCACTGGGAGGAAAACATATGACCTGGAGAAAACTTTCAAGGTTGGACAGGTGCCACAACTCCTTGTCCATACAAGCGGGGAATCAAAGCCCCACCCCACCCGCCACCACTGTGCCGAGAACAACCATAAATTCAAGTGATCAAGATTAAAATGTCCATCCTTGTAAAATAAGATACTGATAATTGTACGAAAAGCTCAAGGTACCCCAAAAACGTATAAATGTTACATTCTATAAAACTAATTATTATGGACAATTTTCTTTTGACGACTTCGTCACATATAATTGAACACGATAATGTTACTGTCACTAAAGTGTAGGAAAAATTGTAAAAAATACTACTGTTCGACTCACACTCACATCGACACAGTAATATCATGTAAATATATTATTTATGGATAGGGTTTGTAAGCCTGTTCCCCAAGCCTATACAGACAGGTCTGTCATTAAGTCAACTCGCGTGGTTTTGATTACCCAGTTGTACGTAGCAAGGAGTAGTTTCGCCTGTCAAACTTCATGGGTTTTCTCCGGTTCCTCTGGTTTTCCACCCCTACATGCAAGCAAATAACTGAAATAAAATTGAACCATGTTAGTCCCAAAATGACCTAGTTTGTGTTGAGTGGACGTTAAACCCCATCTCTCTCTCTCTCTCTGACAACCTGAATAAAAATACTGTTTAAAACAAACAGTAAAATACGGTATGTTGGCAGCAGCTGTGTCTTAATTACAATAGATATATTTGACAGTACGCAAAGAATGAAGGGATGATTTTATATGTAACGCTATAACGTCACAACCCTATTATCGTTAGTTTCAAACAAAGATTACTATGGCACTTTCTTTTTTATCTTCTTTTTCCAGTATATTCGATGGAGCATGTATGAAAAAGACGAGAACGTATATTTCACTGATGTGGCAGTGTTATCAATTACCATATGGCACCCATGATAATACCATGACGTCAATAGTTTTTTGGCAGTGCATGATGGAAATTCCACAAGAGAAATAAATAGATGAAAGCAACAGGATTTTTCCTTGTATCTCAAGAAAGTATGTTTAATATAATATGAAAGGCATGCCAGGTTTATGGGAAAATAATCTACTTTTTATTAAATACCAGCATTTTTCCATTGATCTATAAACTATAACCCATACTTATGGAAGAATAATTACCAATATATTTGGGCGACATCTCGAAGATTATTCTCTTGTCATTTACAAGCAAGTAGAGTAACAAATATGTAGGGCAATGCATGCATTTTCCCATTGACTTTAATGTTAATTCTTGTCTTTTTGCCCAGCTCAAACATTGTCCCAAATTTTGATTGGAGCAATTTGTGGCTAGAACATGTATGTCAAGGTTAACCATGGGCATTTTGTGATATACAAACTGGAAGTATCATGCATATATAATACTAGGGCAAATCTATGTTAAAGTAGATAATATCTACAGAGATTTTCTTGCTTATCCCAGCAATATTTGGTGTAAAAATGTAAGAATTAAATTATCTTTGAATTCTTTATTAATATTTTCAGAAAACCCCCAACTAGATGGCAAAGGTGCTTATGTGTATGTACAGAAAAAGATATAACAATATTATGCTGCCAGAAGCGTGTTGAAAGTATTCTGTAGCAGGCAGAAACATGTTATTCTTGATTCCTTCATGGTATTTATAATAAAGGATTTTTTAAATGGCATACGTGCCTGAGTCGACATATTCCAAGAACTATTTTCAAGACTTAAAAGAAAAGCAGATGATTTACTTAATTATCTGATGTAGAATTTGTTAAAGAATGAAAAACATTTTTTTTTTGTTGTAATTTTAGGTTAATTATTCAAGGTGAGGTTTATGAATAGTTTTAATTCCATTAATCTATTTCACTTGTCGTCATTATCATAAGTATCACTGTACACTGGGTGTTCTTAATCCTGATATAACAGTTCTATATACATTTCTTAGAACAAAACACAAAATGAAATGAAATGAAATGGGGTTGTTTAACGTCCTACCTTTCTGCTCCTATGCTGGGCTAATGAAGACGGGCATACGCCATACAGTTTGCTATGAGGGAAATTTTGCCTGGGCAGCGACACTATCGCCAACTCTTATATCGAATTCCAACTGCCAAGGGATCTTTTACGTGCATTCCAATGTATACACGGGACCTCGGTTTTTTGTCTCATCCGAAGGACTAGACAGCTGTCCTAGTCAGGCCCTCTGTCCTGCATCACTGACAAGGGGGGAACCACGCCTGAAAATCTGGATGAACTTTCTCGGCCAATGCAGGAATCGAACACCCGATCTCCAGGCTAGCGAGCCAGCGTCTTACCCACTTAGCCACATGATCCCCCAGAACAAAACACATTAAATCTTTATTCTCATGGATATAAAATGAAATGGGGTTTAACGTCCTACTGTTCTGCTCCAAATATTCTCATGGTAAAAAGAAAAAAATGAAATGAAACAAGGCTCAACATCCTACTGTTCTGGTCAGAGACGGGCGATATACCATACAGTGTGCTATGAGGGAAATGTTGCCCGTACAACAGCACTATGGTCTACTCTTATATCAAAATCAAACTGTCAAGGGCTCTTTTACGTGCATGCAAATGTGTAGACAGGACCTTGTTTTTTTGTCCCATCCATATGACTATACCTTGTCCTTTGCCAGGCCCTCCATCGTGCATCACTGACAATGGGGAACCATGTTGGAAAATCACGATGAACTTTTTCGGCCAACTGGGGGACTCGGAGAAAACCCACAAGGTTGGACAGGCAACCCTACTCATTGTCACATATAACCCGGAAATCGAAACCACGCCAGTTGACTCAGCAACAGACCTTATGATACAAAACACGCGATGGGGGGGGGGGGGGGAGTTGTAACTGTTTGATATTGTGGTGTAGATCAATTGTCCATTTTATTGTTAAATTTTTAAATCTTGTGGACATTCAAATCTCGACCATCCGAAGCTCTAGAGAGTTAATTCTAGGCTTGTCATGTGAATAAATATCTGAATAATAATTCATATAACATTTGAAGCCAAAATAAAGACCTACAATAGGCAGATATAGCCTTGCATAATAGGTCTTTAATGCTGAATAAAATCAAGGTTATTTGATGAATGGAAAATTCCCCAGGGATACTCCTGAGTTTTTTTATTGCTTGTCTCCAGTTTTTTCATCTGTTGGGGTTGACATATGCCCTGTTCCTTTTATTTTACAAGCCCCTCTCTTATTTTCTATAATATTCCATGGTTATCATTCAAGATACATTTTCATGCATGAAGGGAAGTAACTCTTTTAATCTTAGAAATCTTATTCTCTAGAATTAAAACCTCGTAATGTTCTTTTTATCTGTGTGTTATTAGCACGATGTAGTAAAAATGATACAATAGCTTTGGGTTAAGGCTTGAAACAGAATGTTGCATTCCCTGTCAAAAAGTTTAGCAGAAATGAATTTTCAAAATTAACTTTTGTAAACTACTCTTCAGCATGAATATATAAAAACCATTCTCCTTAATTTCATTGGCTGCCTTTTAATATTAAGGTTGATTTTAGAATTTTATTGTCAGTAATTCAAAATTAGCACCATCTCATTTATGTGCCCATCCATAAAACTAAGGACTTTATCAAATGTATTACTGCTTTCTCATCCAACACGTGTCTGTATATCTTTTAAAGTCAGTTTAAACACCCATTTATTTTGTCAGCTTTTAATGAATTGATTCCTCTGTAAATGTTATCTTTATAATATGTATTTTTGTGTCTTTTTCATCTCTTATAGGTTCTTTTAAATCTTATAAATGTATATGTATTGTCAAAACGAAATCTTAACAATTTTGTGAATTGATGCACTATATAAGTAACTAATAATAATAATTTTTATCAAAGATTATGAAACCATGAAAGATTGAGTTTTGGGTCTGTTCAGTTTTTGGTGTGAGCTCCCGTCCTCATGGGGTTTATATGGCTGACACCCTGAACCTTGACCTAATCAAACATGGGGTAAACAAGATGAATAAGCATATACATATTCCTCAGGCTTGGATTCAGGAATATACGAGTATAGGTTCGGGGAGATTGGTGGACCTTTTAGTCTTGAATTGACATCGATTGTGATGAATTGATCAGATTGCCACAGGCTAAATTTTTGCATAAGCTAGATATACTCTAGAAAGCACCAATTACAGTCAATTTTTCAAAAGAATTTCTTCAGGTAGGAGGGGGAGGGGGGAAACCCCTACAAGGGCACTTTAATTACTGGGTCAGGCTCAGTGGCCTATACCCCCCAGTTTGTTCCTGCTACCCCTTGAAGGTACATGATCTGAGCACACAGAATAGCACAAGACAGATAAGTATATTATAATTTATGACAGGAACAAGGCGTGTAAAACAGAGTAATTCTTTTAAGAATCACACCTCATCAAACACATAAATAATTTCATTTCTCTTTTACTGCCAGGAATAAATCACAACTCATAAACAAACAGACAAAAAGTTGCCCAATTTCAGAAACCATAATCATTTATTAGACTTGAATTTGTAAACAGCCAACTAAGAGCAAGGTTATTGAATGAAAACAGAACCACACTTCTGTATTGAATCTCTGCAGACATTTATAAACATACATTGAACAATAGACCATGACCTTTGACCCTGGCATCAGACCAATAATAATAAATACATGTATGTATCTAGTCTTACAAAAAAACATAAATACTTTCTACTTGGCTTGAGTGGCTCTAATCGATGTTTTTATGTGAAGACTCCTAACAATGTTTTTTGGTGCTTGAAAGGAAAGTTCCACTTATGTCATTTTGAGACTAACATACATTTACATTTTTTCTTCTGCCACATGTGAAACACTCAGAGAGTAATTCTGCCCAGGCAGCATCATTTAAAATTAGTCAACATTCAGCATCCCCTGCAGATGATATAAACAAGATGTGGTTACATCTTCGGCCACATGTGAAACACAAGGGGGGGTAATTTTGCCCAGGCAGCAACATTTGAAATTAGCCAACATTCAGCATCCTCAGCAGATGATATAAACAAGATGTGGTCAAAAGCCAGTGTCATCTGTAATTTGCATGGGATGAAAAAACAAGGTTGGCATGCACATAAAAGAAACCATGTGAGTTAGAATTTGATATATAAGTGGGACATTACAAACCTGTCCGGGCACACTGTATAGCATACAGCCTTCTTCATCAGCCGAGCTGGTGCAGGAAAGTAGAACGTTAAACCCTGCTGCATTTCATTTCTGGAAATTTTAACATTCTGTTTAATTTAGAAGTGTTAGTTTGTTCCAAATAGTGTGACAGAAAGACTGACAGATGGACAAAGTCATTTTAATTGTCCCCTGCTTTCGAAAGTCAAGGGACAAGAATATAACTTGATTTCCATGTACCAAATTTTATGGTTTGTAAATTGATTGACAGCTGAATACTTCAGACTCAGTCGATCAATTTTGAACATATTTTCTTTACCTCTGATTAACAAGATGTTTGTTACTTGATTGTTGTTGTTCTTAGTGTTTAACGTCCGCTTATATCGAAGGTGCTATAGCAGATGAGTGTTACTTTTCATTTTCATTATTTTAGCGCATGCGAAGGGGTCTTTCCTGTGGGAGGAAACCAGAGTACCCGGAGTAAACCCACGAGGTTGAGAAGGCGCCCCGATCTCCAAGCCACATACGCTGACACCAGGGATCGAAACCACAACCGCAAGTCAGACGTGACCGGCCAGGTGGAAGCGCAGCACTCTAGACCACTAGGCCATCCCCCCACCCCTGCTATGTTTTTTACAAAGAATGACACTTTCTAGCAAGTTGGTCAATTACACTGAAAGTCAGTCAAGACTTGTAAATATGACCAAAATCGAGAGCCCTGATCTCAACCAGCCAGCAACAGACATCTACATCACCCCTGGATTCAGACCAATCATTAATGGTGAAGTTGTTGTGAATACAAAATGAACACAAAAAGTCCAGTTCTGTGTAATCTCTCTAATTGAATGCATTAAATCATGTAACTATCATTATTAGGAAATGTTTCAGTAAATGAAGATTGACTGATCTCATCAACGCTACAGCTTGTCTAAAGACATTATATCAGCAATTTCGGTTATGCTTGTTCGGGGGGGAAAATCGATACTGCATCACCATGTATTGAAATTGAAATTAAGTATGAGTTAATTAAGGCAAAAGCCTGTCCCGAAGCATCAGTGACGATGAGCTGTGTGAGGTTGTTAGTAATTGTATCTCTAATAGACCATGAAGGAAACTTGTGCAAGAAAACGCAGACAAGATGTCTCGTTATACAGCATCTGTAGTGAAGATATTTGAGTAGGTAATACATCATGAAGGAAATGAAACAAAACATACACACTATTTCTAGTTCTTGCTGGGGAATACATTTTTTTGTTGGACATTTATATTCGTGGTTGGGGTGGGGTAATTTATATTCTTTGGGGCATTTATATTTTTGGAGGTGAGGCATTTATATATTCTTGGCAGTGGGACATTTATATTCTTGGTGAGACATGTATATTCTTGGTGAGACATTTATATTCTTGGTGGTAGGGCATTTATATTCTTGGTGGTAGTGCATTTATATTCTTGATGAGGAATTTATATTCTTGGTGAGACATTCATATTCTTGATGAAGAATTTATATTCTTGGTTAGGGCATTTATTTCTTGGTGTGATATTTATTTCCTCAGTGGGACATTTATATTCTTGGCAGTGGCACATTTGTATTTTTGGTGGTGGGGCATTTATATTCTTGGTAGTGTGGAATTAAAATTCTTGGTGGCAAAAAATAACCTTTAGCAGTTATAATTCGATGAAAAGCAGAAGGACAGACGGACATAGCCCACTTCAATATCCCTACCTTAACTTCATTCAGCGTGGATATAAAAACCTGAATTTATCCAATTTATCTGATCTGTCACACTGATTTATTTTTGTTTCTACATGTCGATTTTTAGAGGATCAATACCACAAAGATGGTACATATTTCCAAATATGGTCGTCTTACTTTCTAATTCTGCCAATCAACTTCAAGACATAATCAATAAGATTGAAGAAATACAGCATTTTATTCATTTGCAAACAAATGCCAATAATTCAGACACATCGCAACAAATTGTTAAAATCTTCTACACGAAAAGATAGCGACTAACTTGAAGTGGTGTCTGCCAATCAGTGGGGCAATCTCTCCTCTTCAATAGCTGGCGTTAAATTAAGGCTTGAACGTCAAGTAGTAGCAATCAATCTCTGGTGGTGACCCTTCGTCTGACTTCACACTTTACTCACAGATTACGGGGAATTATAGTGGATTAGATTAAATACACTGGGGTGAATGGGAAACTATTTCAACGACAAAGCGCTAAGAAGTTAAACACACAACAAACATCATCAATAATGTCGATAAAAATAGACTGGTGGAAGAACATATAATGAGATGGGGTTTAACGTCTCACTTTCCTGGGCTAATGAAGATGAGCATAAGGCATGTAGTTTGCTATGAGGAAGATTTTGCCCAGGCAGTGCCAAGAGTTTATTAACATGCACACAAATGGGTACATAAGACCCGTTTTTAAATGAAATGGGGTTGAACATCTTACTTTTCTGCACCAATGATGATGAGTATATTCCATGTAGTTTATATGAGGGAAATTTTGCCAAGGCAGCGGCAATTTTTTTTCATATCCATTCTTTGTCAAGATCCTTTCTGACCAATTCCATGGAAACCTGCACTAAAACGTATTAAGATAATAAATGATTTATTTCTTTCATTGGTGAAGATGGAATACTTATCAAACTGTTCCGCTATAATGTTGCACGTTTAAATTAAA